AGAAAGAAAGAAAGAAAGAAAGAAAGAAAGAAAGAAAGAAAGAAAGAGAATCCCTAAACAACAACAACAGCAACAATAACAACAAAAAAAAACAAATGAAATAAAAACTGGGAATTAAAAACTCAGAAAGTAAAAAAAAAAAAAAAAAAAGCCCAGAGGTAAGCTTCACTAGCAGATTAAAAGACATGGAAAAGAGAATCTCATGTCTTGAAGACAAAGTAAGAAAAACAGATAGCGCAATCAAATAAAAGGTAAAAATATAAAAGAAAAAATTCAGAATTGACTAAATTGTAATAAATGATAATAATTTAAAATTTTTTTAAAGAAAAAATTCAGGTGTCAGATCCTCTCTTCTCCCTCTGTTTTCCCCCCAGATATAATAATACCCACTGTCATGCCAAGCTCTGCATGTGACAGCCTTTCCTCCTCTACCACCTCCAACCCCAGCAGACACCTGCTGCTAACCCAGGGTCACTCCAGGCAGGGCAACAGTGGATCCACACTCTCCTCTTTCTCCCTCAGATTCCACACCCCAGGCTCAGACCCAACTCAGGAATAGAACACCTGCAGCAGCCATCGTGAAGACATGTTAGAAAAAAATGGAAAGTGGCAATCCAAAAAATATCCTGACACAAAATATCCAGGAAATCAGAAAAACTATGAAAGGATTGAACCTAAGAATAATGGGAATAGAAAAGAAGAATCCCAGCTCAAAGGCCCAGAAAATATTTTAACAAAATCATAGAAGAAAATTTTTCTAACCTAAAGAAAAAGATGCCTGTAAAGATACAAGACGCATAGAGAACACCAACTAGATTGGACCAAAAAAGAAAGTACCTTCAGCACACAATAAGCAAAACATTAACATACAAACAAAGAAATAATATTTAAACTTGCAAGGGAAAAGACAAAATAACAAAGGCAGAACTATTAGAATTACACTTGACTTCTCAGTGAAGAGTCTAAAAGTCAAAAGGTCACGGACAGATGTGCTGCACACTCTAAGAGACTACGATGCCAGCCTAGACTAATATACCCAGAAAATTTCAGTTACCAGAGATAGAGAAAATAAGATACTCCATGACAAAGTCGAATTTAAACAATACAAAAAAAAATCAATGGTTCTTTGAGAAAGTCAGCAAGGTAAACAAACTCTAATCCAAATCAGAAATGAAAGGGAGAACATAACAAGAGACACAAAGGAAATCCGGAGAATCATAAGGACATACTTTATAAACCATTATCAAATGAAAAATCTAAAAGAAAAATTTTCTCAATAGTTACTGTTTGCCAAAGGTAAATTAAGGTAAGATAAACAATTTGAATAGAACTATAACTCCTAGAAAAATAAAAAAGCACCCATTAACAGTCTCCCAACCAAAAACAAACAAACAAAAAACAGGGCCAAATGGTTTTAGCACAGAATTCTACCAGACTTTCAAAGAATAGTAAATGCCAATATTTTTAAAATTATTTCACAAAATAGAAACAGAAGATACATTGTCCAATTCAATTTATGAGGCCACAGTTAC